CAGTGAAGGAATTCGAACAAGCAAGCAGCAAGAGAAAAAAAAAAACTACTAAATACGTGTGTACCAGCCATGAAATCCATCGGAACAGCCAAATTTATCCACACATTCGAGAGTGTTTCGCGGAGAACTAGGGACGAAACGTAATTTGAGTTATCAGAAGCTACTGAGCATGCCCCGAACCGACCAAACTAGAACCATTGGAAGGAGAAACTAGCAGAGACCAGTGAGACCCTAAAACCCCACTGCTCGAGCATCAAGCGCGCTAGAATCCGCGCACGCGAAACGGGTAAAACTGAGAAACAAAATCCACCAACGACCCTGCAAATGCAAACCAACTTGATACGCGAGCATGTAAATGCTCGAATCGACCCCAATTTGATCGGACAAGCCCATGACGACGAAACCCTTGTGCAAACACGGCTCAGAAATCACAGGGGAACATCTCGATCTAACAACAACGATTCGATCGGCGGGGAGCCGCCCGAAACCACTCGAATCGCACGGAATCGAAGTTGACGCGGAGATGGGCGAGGAGATGAGGAGAAACTTACTAGAAGCAGCGAATCCTGCTCGGTGATCTCCGCCTCCTTTGTCTTCTGAGCCATCACCTGCATCGGAGCGGCACAACCACGATCAGGACACACACACCTACAATCGAAGGAGATGCGAAGCACGGTGTAGGCTGAGAGATGAGAGCTCACCATTTTGCCGGGTCTGCGCTGCTTGCGCGGCGCGCGTGTGCGGGGGAAGAGGCAGTGGGGAGAGGAGGGTGGTAATGGTGTGGTGCGGGATTTGCGGGTACTTATAAAGAGTGGGGTTGATGGCCGCGGCCCGCAGGCGTGGGGTGGGGCAGAGCCGTGGACGAGAAGACAAGAGGAGGACGCCTTTTCGTTTGAAATTTTGAATTCTGGAAACACGCGTGGTTCAGACTTCAGAAGGTTTTACTCGTCTATGTGTGCAACATTTTACATTGGATCCCCCTGCACTATTAAGGGAGTGTTTGGTTCTCCGGTAGCTCCTAAAATTTATATCACATCGAATATTTAGATATTAATAAGGAGTATTAAATATAGATTAATTACAAAATCAATTACATAGATGAAGGTTAATTTTTGAGACGAATTTTTAAGCCTAATTAATCTGTTATTAGCACATGTTTACTGTAGCATCACGTCAAATCATGGACTAATTAGGCTTAAAAGATTCATCTCACGAATTAGTCGCAAGTTGTGCAATTAGTTTCGTAATTAGTCTATATTTAATATTTCATGCATGTGTCCAAACATTCGATGTGACAGAAATTTTAGGAGCTCCTATAGGAATCAAACAGCCTAAATTGGATCCCCTGCACTATTAAAATATTAAAAATATTTTGTTAACTCATAATATTACCTGCCAATGCGTACTGGGACCCATCAATTCAACGTTTGTTAGTTCATTGACAATTGCAATATTACATGTTCAGTAACCAGACCGCTCTCAACGCGCGGATTCTTAGGAGCTGTATGGAGTTTCATATACCGTATAGTACTGTACCTCCATCTCAAAGAATGTCATTCTAGTTTTGTTTTGACTTCTGAGTCAAACTATTTTAATTCCGACATTTATTTGTAAAAAATATTAATATTTATGATACCATATAATTATGAATAAATTTATAACAAAATATATTTATATGGGAAACCTATTTGATGTTGTAGATATCGCTAATGCTACAGTGAGGGTCTCCATCTGCCCGGACGCTCCTTGATAGGCGTGCGGACTGGCCTAACAAGCCTGCTCCTTTCTATCAAATTAACGGGATGCCTCGACGACTTCTAAAAAAAACTAGACGCTGCGACATTTCCCCACTCCGCCTCACGGCTTTTGGCACCTCCTCACGGCGCTGCCTACTCGCCGCGGCCGCCTCCACCGAACCAACGAGCCTCCTCGCCGCCACCAGGGTCTGGCCGCTCGCCGGTGCCGCTAGCTGGTCGGGCCAACCCAGCAGCAACCACGCAGGCGCTCGGACGCCGCGTTTGGCCAGGCAGCTAGAGTGGGGGGCATTGCTAGCCGGGCCCAGGCCAGGCGCAAGCACAGTTGGCCGCTGCCAGGCTGCGCCACCATCTTCGGCCACCGGCTAGCCAGAACCGGCTGTTCCCCCTCTGTTCTGCGTCGCACGGAAGAAGGGTGAAAAACGCATGTTGTAAGCCTACGTTTCAAGTATTTTAGAGATATGTTGCACGCGTTTTAGGTGGATGTTGCAAAAGTTTAGGCATGTTGCATATATTATCATGGTTGTACACATATATTGCAAGCGTCTGTTCCTAAGAGCATCTCCAACAAATATGATAAAACTAGTAGCCAAATCTTATAGTTTAGCCATTTTATAAAATACAAAACTTTTCAAAAAAGAAGAGTTTCACGAGAGGCTGGCTATTTCTCATATGCTATATTGAAAAGATGCCACGTCACGTAACTACCGGCAGATTCCCATCAGCTCGAAGGCTCGGACATGTTGCTTGCTCGTATACAATCGTGGATTATAAGTTAAAATAGTATTTTTTTATCATACTAAACCAGCCAGCAGTAAATAATTCACGATAGTTTACGGCCTGCCGAACATGCTGTCATCCCGCGGCGGTGTCCTGGCAGCTCTGCGGCTTCGCATCAATGTCCTGTCCGGGTACCCTGAAATTTTATAGATTAATGTTTATGCTAAAACATCATAAGAGAAAAATACTATTCAATTATTAAAAAATAGCTCAAGCGAACAGGGCCAATAGGACCAGAGACTCCGATCCTGTGCGTCCTGACGTCACCTACGCGTCAAGCCCAGGTTCCGGCTTCCGATCCACCACCAGGAGGCTCATCTTGCCGGCGACGGGCTGCTGCTACCGTGTAAGTTTTCTAACTCATCGGCCTTAGATTGCCTCAAAATTCTAATTTTTTCACTCTTTTTCTATCATATTAATTTTTAACGCATGCATGGAGTATTAAATGTAGATAAAAAAATAACTAATTACACAGTTTGGTTGTAAATCACGAGACGAATCTTTTAAGCCTAATTAGTCCATGATCGGATAAAGTTTGTCAAATACAAATAAAACGTGCTACAGTGTCCAAATTGCAAAAATTTACAATCTAAATAAGGCCATCATCACGTATGTTCATCTTTAGGTCACGTATCAATGAGCAGATTGAGACTGCAATAATTTATAGGGAATAATTACCAGGCATATTAATTTTTTAATCATCGTGTAGGTGTTCGATCAACCTAATCAAAGGTCCATAATGGAGTTTGAAGATGTAGTTAATGAGCTGATGGATTCGTCGTCATCGTCGTCGTCTGATGATGACGATGAGGTATATACTGCGGCAGCGCATATAGTAGTATCGGACATTGTCAATCTAGCATGCCATCGTGGTTCCGTAAAGGGACATCGTGTTTTGAATCGTGATGGGCAGTTGGGATACTGCAGACTGTATGAATATTATTTCTTAGATAATTCTACATATGGATCGAGCTATTTTAGGCGCAGGTTAATTTTCTCATATTTTATTGACTTATGTTTAGTGTATGCATTGAGGTCTGAATAATTTTTTTATATGACGACACAGGTTTCGAATGCGGCGTCATGTGTTTGTACGCATAATGAATGCCGTTGAGGAGTATGACGACTATTCTGTGCAGAAGAGGAATGCAGCCGGAACCTAGAACTATCTTGTTTGTAGAAGGTGGTGGCGGCGTTCCAGATGTTAGCTTATGGAGTAGCAGCTGATGCTATGGATGACTACATCCGTATTGGGGAGATACTGCTCTAGAAAGTTTGTCAGAGCTGTTGTTCACGTATTTGGACATGAATATTTGAAGTTGCCCAATGAAGATGACACCGTCAGATTACTTGTGATTGGTGAGAGTAGAGGTTTTCCTGCCATGCTTGGTTCCATTGACTGTATGCACTGGACCTGTAAGAATTGTCCGGTTGCATGGCAAGGTATGTATAGGGGACATAAAAAGGAGACTACAATTATTCTAGAAGCTGTTGTTTCTAAAGATCTTTGGAATTTGGCATGCATTCTTTGGGATGCCAGGTTCGCACAATGATATAAATGTTTTCAAAGATCTATATATTTGCAAGGCTTGCTGAAGGTCAAGGGCCACAGGTAAATTATAGCATCAATGTGAATGATTATACTATGAGTTATTATCTAGCAGATGGTATATATTCATCTTGGGCCACATTCGTGAAAACCATGCCCGAGCCATAGGGTAATAAGAACAAATATTTTGCAAAAGCCCATGAAGCTTGTAGGAAAGATGTCGAACGAGCATTTAAGGTTCTACAAGCTCGCTTTGCCATTGTTCGAGCGTCGGCACGTGTGTGGGATGAGGACACACACAGCTTCAAGCCGACCTTATCGAGCACTTATGGCATAATTTTCCAGATTTATATACAAATAGTATTGTTGAATAATTTCATTTACTATCACAACATCAAGGCATTCTGTATTAGTTTCCAGACCTATCTTCTTTGTTTGATTTATTAGATACCGTAATAAATATGTGTTTAGGTGAGGATGCCCTGCAATTTTATTTGATCTGTCTTTTAATAGTTCAAGGCATTGATACAATGGATGGCATTGATACTACCCCTATCAGTATGTATAGATACATTGTTCATGCATTAACATATATATGTGATGGTGCAAACGCCAAAAGTAGCTCCTTTACAGAATAATATAGATAACAAGGTTCATGCAAGAACATTAATCAATCCGATATGCTGTGAACTAGAGGCAACTAGAATGTTTCAGAAAATTAGACATGTCTCACACTATGCCCAAATCTAAAAATTGAAGATCACGGTACTACTAATGTCCAAGCCATCTTGCAAGTATTTTCTTCTGTTGATCATCGTAGAACTGTTGCTGTCTGGTTGACATGGTGCTCATATCAACATTGATAATTCTTTCTTCTTCTCGATCCTGCTCGAAATCAAATTTATCTTTGTCAAGTTTTATCCTTTCTTCCTGCAAAGCAAGGGCTTTTTGAGCATCTCATGTTTCTTCAACCCCCTTTCCTCTTTCTTCAACTCCCTCTCCTCTTTCTTCATCTCCTTCTCAGCATCCACCTCTTTCTTCTTTGCCAATAAATAATCCAAAGCTTCAATGCTGGAACGCTGCTTTAATTTCTGTTTTTCCTTCTTAGTCCTAGTAGGCCTGTCCACTGTGGTTATTGCAGTATGAGTCTCATCTACAGTCCCAGTGACATGTTCTGCTACATCAGTAGCAGGAGTTGAACTGGTAGTGGTCTTTTGCTTTTTGCTGAATGGTTTCTGAGCTTCAATTTGCTGGCGCCTATGCGTCCACTTTGAATGGTTTTTGAGAATTTTCCAGCAATGTTGTACCGGAAAGTCCTATGAAATGGGTCATCATTCTTATACATAGTTAATGCGTTTGCTTGCCGCAATGGAAAACAAAGGTGACACATGAGATTCAGCAAAAATATAAGAAATTGGCATGTCAAGAGGTCATCTAAACTTGTCATCGACAGATGCACCACTCTGATTTCTGGCCTCTACCTCGGAAACACAACTAGCAAATATGTTGCAACCATGTTGTATACTAGACCACTGACTCATTAGAGAGCTTTGTGTGCGATCAGAATCAACATCCCTGTGTGCGTGGAAGTAATCATGTATTCTTTTCCAATAGATATTTTTTGATTGATTGACTCCTCGCATAGGATCCAAACTCACATTTAGCCATGCTGACACCAACATCTTGTCCTTTTTTACAGTGAAATTTTTGGACCTTTTTTGAATTCCTTTCACCGCAGCAGCGACCTCATCGCGTGCTTGTACATCATTACGAAGTGGGATATTGTTGGACACTGCAGCTGGAGTGAAGCCCTGCATAATCATGTCGGTAAAAGATCTCCCTGAATCCATTTGGGCTGTATGAACAGAACACAAGTAACATGTAAGATGATGAACTGAACATGTTATCAGCATATTGTCAAGTACAAGCAAAAAGACAGAGTTTTCTGAAATTATACAAAAAAGGACAAGACAAGAACTGTAACTTAAATATGAAAGATTGTCAAGCATTAAACAATATGAAAATTTTCTTTCAACCAAAAACCATGTTTGACACACCTTTGCAGTTGGCTGCATATTTTCTAAATCCATACTACAGTTATAATGATCTTACTATCTTCGCAAGTGAGCTAGTCATGGATGGGTTGATGTCAGCTGTTGAAACATTTTACCATGGTGATTATAACAAGCAAAATCAAGTAGTAAATGAGGAGTTGATCAAGTTTAAGGATCAAGTAGGACATTTTGCAAAACTAGTAGCAAAGGCTGGCTGAAAGGATTTTGATTTTAACCCAGGTAATGACTCTTTATTTTAGTTGTATTTTTTTAGTGATTAAAGGTGCAGCCTGCAGCCATAGTTTTCCTACAGAGTATACATATCTAAATTTATATAATGTCTTGTGCTCTCTTCTGCTTTAATTCAGATTTACATACACAAAAAAACTGAAATGTATGCTTCAGTTCAGTTTTACTATCTTGTGCTGATTTAATATGATTTTTTATACAGCAAAATGGTGGGGTAATTATGGAACACAAGTTCCAGCATTACAACGTCTAAGATAACATTGAAAATAAGTGAAACTCATCCATGATACGGGCAACTAAAATGTTTGATCTTAGTTGGTAGCCTTGCTGCTTTCAACTAAACTACCCTTTTCTACATCCATTTGTGAAGATCTATTATAATGAAGTGCACAAAATTGAGTACCTATGACTGAACTTTGTTTGGTGGGAGGTGTTCAGACTTCAGCTTAAGCTATTAGTGATGATGAATGGCTTTCAACCTCAAGACTGAAGGTATGTAACAGCCAATGTTTTCCTAAACGGTAAACGGTCTTTACACGGTCGCTCTTCGTTTAGCGTTTAGGCTATTTACACGGTGTTTAAACGAAGTTAAACGGTCTAAACGGTTTTGTACTTTAAAAAAATACATATAAATATATATGTGCATGTAAAAAATCAAGTATTGTAGCATTTATACATATTTATCCGAGTAAAAATTAATTATTTTGGTATGTATATATATTTATGCATGTGAAAAGAACCAAATATAGATATTTATGCATGTAACATATCAAGTATACACATCTATAAATATAATAAACTTAAGTATATAAATTTATCCATACAAAACTAAACTAGATTTACCTCGTGTTCACCTAAACAGCCGTTTAAATAGCTGTTTAGCCCGTTTAATACTGTTTATCTCCGTTCCGTTTAGACCATTTTCCCGTTTTTTGACCGTTTAAACGGTCAACCGTTTAATTTTCGTTTACCCGCTAAACAAAACAGTTTACCATCGTTCACCGTTTAGTGGCCGTTTAATGGGCCGTTTAGGTGAACACCGGTAACAGCTAGTACATCCATGTTTCAGGTATCAAAGAGTAAATGGCTTTACAAGTGGGGGCTCCTTGACGCCACTACGATTTCCACGGTAAAGATGGAAAATTGGGGAAAGAACAATGGATCTTGGGCACATGGTGCCAACCATTGGTTGGTCAAATCTGCAATCCTCTACCACATACACCAAAAAAAAACTGCTGCAGCATCTGAGAGAGACCTACTGAAAATTAGACTCACCGGAGCACACGTCGAGGAAAGGGTTCGATGCAGCGGCGGCGGCACTGTTGGGTGGAAGGACTCGTCGTCACTGGCCTCCTTGCGCCGCATTTTCCAACCAAGGCAGCACCGGTGAGTCCTGTTGCTCCCATCCGCTTGATTCCTGACTAATAGGGAGCGAATATAGGGCGGCGCAGTTGGGGTCTCCCTGGCGCTCGGACGGCGGAGTTTGTCCATGAGGAAAGTGCGACATCGGAGGGCCAGACACTCTGGTGGTGCGGCTGCGGCGGCAGGGGCAGGGGAGGGGAGGAGGCGATGGACGACCAAAGTTACGAAACGCCGAATCAAGCGAAGCGAGCTAGGGAATTGTGAATGGAGCCACGGTTGGGCTTGGGATCCCCATGACGGGAAAGTTCACCCCGCGCGCGGGAAGGAAATTGCTGCACGCAGGAGGATTGCGCGCGCGCGGGCAAGGACCGTGGCCACCGATTTCGGCAGATGGCGAGCGGCATTGGCTTGCTTTCTATATCTAGCGAAATTTCAGCGATAGCTCACTTGCCATTTTAGAAAACTAGATAGCAAGTCTGTTGGAGCTTCATTTTTGCTGTAAAAATCTAAATATAGCCTAGCCAACAAAGATAGCACATATGTTGGAGTTACTCTAATATTAACAATTTTCCTTATAAACTTGATTAAACATAAGATATCTTGATTTATAAACTTCTACGTCGCCGTGAGCTTCAAGTAGCCGAAGCTCTTGTCCCGGACCACTCTCCACTGCGGCAGCGGCCCCGCGGAGTAGTCCCGCAGCCTGGTGCCGCCCGTGCCGGGCACAACGTGGATGGTCCCGCCCATGGTGCCCGAGTAGCTGCTCTTGTCCTTCTTGTTGCCGTCCCCGTCGTCCATGCACGTGTTCTCGTACAAGGGGCAGGTGCACTCGTAGTTGTTGACGTGGCCGTAGATGGCGAGGTCGATGCGGTGCTTCTGCCACAGGCCCTGCAGGGTCCGCCCCATGGGCTCCGAGAAGGACCCCTCCGTGTCGTAGTAGTCGTTGGAGGTGTAGCCCAGCGGGCGGTGCGCCGCGAACACCAGCCACGGCTGGTGCCTCCGGTCCGCCGACGCGAAGCACCGGTCCAGGAACGCGTGTTGCTCCGACCTCGGCCGCCAGTCGTGCTCCGTGTCGCTGACGCAGCACCGGAACATGCCGTGGTCCGCCGCGTACCAGAATTTGCTCCGGTTCTCCGTCGGCACGTAGAAGTAGGTCTCCGCCGGCACCCCGCACTCGCCGTGGGAGTCGTTGCCGTTGTAGAAGCCCCCCGTGTCATGGTAAGTTCTCTCGTGGTTGCCGCTGCACACGGTGCACAAATAAACGCCGTTTAGCTTCAGGGGCGACTGGTCAATGTGGAAGACGGCGTCGTAGTTGGGCAGGTCCTTGATCAGCCAGTCGGTGGTCACCTGCGCACCGGGTTGGAAGCCGGCGAGTTCACTGGTCCCATCTCTTTGCCCCTACCAAGTAAAAATGTGTATGCATTGTCATCTACTGTACGTACACCTATTGTGTTGTATTGTTACTGTTTACACCAAAATTTGGAAGGAAAGTCATAGGGACCCAGAAGCTCCCAGGATCGTGCCAGCGAGGAATCAATTGCGTGTAGATCGAAAACAGCTGATTCAGATACAGCACTAGAATCGGCTTTCTTCAGATAGCGCCAGTGGATAACGACAGAAGCTATGATCGACGCTGGGACGAGGCATGCTGGACTCTAAAAAAGAGAAAGATTAGAGTCCAAGTTATCTTAAATTAGGAATGTTTTCGTTTTTATGCCAAAGATTGTAACAGATCGTGCTCGAGTAGGATTCATGTTTAGACTCCGGGTATAAATATCAAACCCCGGCTATTGTAAAAAATATACAAACAATCAAATACAAGTTAATTTACTTTTTTTTGGCTCCGGCCACCCCTTAGGAGTAGGAGTAGAGTAGATCTCGGCGAGTTTTTCAGCGAGTACGGCTGCATCGATCCGGTCGACCTCCACTGCTTGTCTGTAAGTACCATCATAGTTTATACCTCTGTTCGTATGGCTGCATCGATTCGGTCGACCCCCACTGCGACTCTGGTATAGGTTAGTTATCGACTCTTGCCTAGTTCAAGTATGGCCTGTGTGATTCTGTCTCACACCCCACTGCTTGAACTAGATCAAGGTCAAGTTATCGGCTCTACCTTTGAATGACAGTCTCTGGTAGATTCATTAAGTTACTGATACTGCTTATTGGTTTCATTGTTTATCTAATTACAGCAATATCACTTTGCCCGATTGAGATTGATCTGGATCGGCCTTATATCTTATTTAATCTATCGTTTGCCAATCTAAAACTGATCTAATCTATATCTTAAACGATGAGTTATGTTTTTATCGGTTGTTTTATATCAATCTTAATCGTGCATAGCGTGTGGTTAAGGCATATTCGATCTTGAGTAGATCTATCGGTTAGCGAGAACCGTTCCATGGCCCGTTATCACGGCCTGTGGGATTCTGCCTCTTACCCCACTGTTAGCACCGTGGAGTGGGGATTGTTAGTTGATAGATCTGTTTCCTGAGAAGACATGACCTTAACTGTGCGCTATGCCTGAATCGGCTATTTAGCCGATATCGAACGCTTTCACGAACAGTTCACATTACGAGATCATTGAAGTAGAGATAAATTGAAAGATATGTTAGCCCCATGATCTTATTATTGTATTACAGCCTGCATGATTCTGCCTCATGCCCCACTAATATTAGTAATGAGTTAGGGTCGTCGAGTTTATTATTGTTTCTACGGCCTGCATGATTCTACCTCATGCCCCACTGGTCATGGCGATAGATAAGATTTAACATGTTCATTAGATTTATCTTTATTAAATGGTTAAGTGGTGTTGAATTATTTCTTTATATAAAAAGGGGTTCGATTACTTGTTATCATTGGCTCAGTCTAAATCAATCATCATTGATATCTTATTGCCATTGATTAATTTTTTGCTCGAATTATATTTATTCTGGATGATAACCGATTCTTCTTACACAATCCAACGAGCTTTAATCGATTTATTCTTATGAATATGCTGGAATCAACTATTTAGTCGATTTCCTCTCATATCGGCTCTCAGAGCCGCATATTCGGGACTGTCTGGCAACACCAGCACGTTCCTCCCTTAACTACTGATAATCTTTCTCTCCTTGTCAATTGCAGGGTCAAATTAACTGTCACGTCTCGGGAGGATTACGCAGGATCGACCACCCTTACGCTGAAAC